GGGGGGGGCGGGCGGGCGGGGGCGGGGCCTGGGGGGGGCCCGCCGTCTCCCACCCGAGGCAAGGACATCTCGAGCTGCAGTAGTTCCGCGGCTCCACCCCGCCTCGCTGTCTCCGCGCCTTCCCCCATTCCCATTTCCGTGCGGGCGGATCACCACGTGTCCCTTTTGTTTCCCTAGACGGTCACCTTGTCGCCCTTCCCCTCAACCTCACTGTGAAAATGGCAAGACTGACGGCCGGAAAGGAGCAGAGGCGTGCCCAGGGTCGCACCCGCCCTTGCCTTCCCCCAGGGCGCTTTCTAACGGGGTCCAGAGCTGGGTTGCGAATCCGCGCAGCCCGCGACCCCCACACTGGGTAAACCACCGCGCCCTGGGCGCGAGTTTGGGCTCCTGCAGGGCGGGGTCTGCGACCAGTCTCGCTGTGGATTGGCTAAGGCCGCCGCGCTGCCAGGGAAGGAACCAATCCGGTCTGCAGCGGCAGGTGCCCGGCAACAGTCCCCGACCGTTGGGCGCCGCCGGGGCTGCCCGCCTTTGCCGCCCTAACCGCCTCGCCCTGGGGAGCCCCGGAGACTTCAGGCGCAGGCGGAGTGGGGGCCGGAGCATGACGCCCGGCTCCACGCACAGAAGAGCAAGCGAGCGAGTACCCTCAAGAGAGAGACGGAGGAGGGTCCGGGCCAGCTGCTTGCCCAGCCCTAGGATGGGAGAGCGGGTCCCTAGATGCACCCGGCTGCTGGGGTGACACACGTGAACAACCAGTTGGGTCCGATGGCCGTGACAACATGAATTTGGGGAGTAGGAAAAGGAAATAGGTCTCCGTTGCCCCTTGAACTCTGTCCCTTCCTGTTTTCATCCTAGGCTGCCCTCGGATTGTTTTTTAAGAGTTGGTCTTGGACGCAGAACCCGTCACCCCTACTACACTGTGAACCCCTCCAGGGCAGGCAGCGATTCCCTCAGGTACTGCAGACTCCCCGCGTGCCCAGTGGCTGCTGCAGAAAGGGCTGGATGCAGAACAATTACCAGGTTTCAGTATGGGACCTGCGAGGCCGGCGTTAACCTCCATTTTGAAGCGGCTACATGGCCTGCATAATGTCACACAGTGGCTTTAGGGCCTGGCTTAATACGCCCTGGTCAGTCTGGCGCCCCGTGTGTGTTTTCTGTATTCTCCACAGGCAGACGGAATTGTTAGGGTGACAACTGAGGGGACGGAGTTGGAATGAGAATGGATAATTATAGCAGTAAAGAAAAACATACTGAGCGCAGGAGCACAACCTGCATCCCGGCTGATGCAGAGTGCAGAGTGGAAACAAATCAAGGCAGAAAATTATTTCGGGCCCATTTATGGTGAGTGTCCCATCCACTCTCAGGTGGAGTTCTGCATGGAACCTGCTGTCTCTGGCGGTGATGACCTGGTTCCCAGGAATTTGGTGTGTTTGCTCTGTTTATCAGGGCCTTTGAGGAGGAGACAGGGGGAACAGGATGGATCTGCAAATGAAAGTACCACCCTGTTGTCAAAGCAGGGAAGAATCTGGATTTTTTTTTCCTGAGAGAGATTTTTTTACTATAGGCATGTGCGCTCCCCGGAAAGACAGAGACAGAAAGTGAGAAAATCACCCCCTGGGGCGGGGGTGAGGGCCATGGTGGGGTGGCCATGCTACAATCCTTTCTCCTCCATTCTCTTGGATTTTGGACAGGCACCCGCCCGGGTTCTGCGTGAGTTTTAGGCCTCTGGTTTCGGGTTCAAATCACGTTCAACTATGTGGGAATCCAGCGACATAACCACTATGCCATCTGCTGCTTCCAGATCTGGATTTTTAAGACTCATGCACCCAGGAAGTGTACGTTTATCCTTGGCTAAGTTCAAGACTATGTGTGGACACTGGAAAAGAAAAGCTGGGATCACCAGGACCCAGCATGGATTCCTTAAGCAGAAATCGTGTTAAAATAAATTCCTTTTTTTGGATGGAGCCCAGTGGATGAAAGCAATGCTACAGGCACTGCTCCTCTGGAGTTTGAGCAAGCAACTTGCTGAAGCCATAAGATGCCCTGCACTTTCTACCGGGGCCCAGAGCTGGGCCGAAGAATGTGTGGGAACAGTTAAGTGCATTTTGAAAACTTGTTTCATATCTATTTCATGGAACTTTGTGTGTGTATTTGATTACAACATGTTTATATACCTGTTTTATGTGCCAATAATTACATTGACAGTATTTCATACAATTTCTCGTATAATTTAAACATCATACCAGAAAACAATCTGTTGTGCTTACAATTTCGGAAATTTAAAATCGGTCAATACAAGTTATGTTTGAAACACTAAAAATGAAACCCAGAAGAAAAACATAGAAAGCTGAAAACATCTGCATAATAAAAACCAGCATAAAAAAGTTAAACATTTCATGGGGCTAGCAGGTGGTTAAAGCGCTGAAATTCCCACATGGCTCATCATGGTGGCTTGCTTTCTCACTCACTCTCTCTCTGTGTCTTCCTCTGGCAAAACCCATGTGGAAAAAAAACATTTCTAAATAAATAAATAAATAAATAAATAAAATAGTTCTTTAAACCAAAAATGTTGAACATTTCTAATGTCTCTGGTCATTTCTGCTAAAAATTTTGAATGGCTTGTAATTCTCCTCTCCCCACCTAATAAACATGCAATTGTCGCACTAAAATAAAAATAAAAATAAAATTTGAAAATGACATAAAACTGAATTTTATTTACACTGCTTGAGAGAGAAAATGGAATCATACTTTTTAAATTTTTATGCCCTTTTGATGTTTCTTATTTCTCTTGGTTTCTAGAAAAAAAAGATGAGGAAATGTGACACAAGCTAGATGGAATAACTTAACTATTTGCAACAGAAATCTTTTTTTAAAAGAATTATTTTATTTAACTATTTATTTTTAATTTGACCAGACAGGAAGAGAGAGATAGAGAGGAAGCAAGCCACCAGGTCTGAGACTTGAACCACTGTTGGCCATGTGGGAGTCCTGTGCCCTTAACCACCATACCACCTACCGGCCCCTACAACAGAAATCAGTTTTAAAAATTGTAAATGAATCTTCATTGGCAAGTAACAAGCCCGACATTTTAAATGTTGCACTGGAAAAACACTAAATGATGCATCTGTACATGAATTAATGTTTGAAGGAAATAAAGCTAAATTCATAAAGCCATGCATGAATGTAGCTGTAGTTCATATTTTGCTCTTAGCTCTGAAAATATAGATTCTAACTTCCTAGAGCATAATAGGTCTTGAGCTGGAAATCAGTATCTTTCTTTTTTTCTTTTTTTTTTTTTTTTGAGAGGTTTTTGCTATAGTGCTATAGGGTCCATGCACTCGTCATTCGTTCTCTTCTTGGGATCTTGGGCACACATGCACACACGTCTGGTGTGAGTTTAAGCCACTGGGTCTGGGACTCAAACTGTGGTCAACTACATGGGCGTCCAGTGACATAGCCATTACACCATATGCTAACCCCTCTTTTTTTTAAGAGATTTTTGCTATAAGGCACATGCACTCACCAGAGAGAGAGAAAGCAAGAAATCACCTCCCATGGGGGATGACCACACCGCAATCCCTTCTCCACTTTCCTCTCTGGAATTTGGGAACTCACACACACAAACCCAGCATATGTTTTAAGCCACCGGGTTTGGAACTTGAACCTCGGTGGACCATGTGGGAGTCCTGGGACGTAACCATTATGCTATCTGCTGGTCCTTCTTTGCATTTTTATAAAAGAATTATTTACTGGGACCAGCAGATGGCATAATGGTTACATTGTCAGACACCTACGTAGTTGACTGCAGTTTGAGTCCCAGACCCAGGGGCTTAAAACTCACACCTGGCATGTGTGTGTATGTGCCTAAAATCCCGAGAGGAAAATGCAGAGGAGAGTGCAGCATGACCATCCTCTCTGGGGGGTGATTCCTCACTTTCTGTCTCTCATGAGCTCATGAGCCCTATAGCAAAATCTCTCTCTAAAAAATTAAAAAAATTTTGTTTATTTAATTTTATTATTCTTTTT